CAACGAAAATTACCTCACAAATGTAAGAAACATCAATCATAGAGTAGCAATCACAAAGCTAAGATTAAGCAACCACAAACTAGCAACTGAAACTGGGCAATACGTTAAACCCTATCAACCACCAGACCAAAGAATCTGTCCATTATGTAAAACTGGATTAGAAGACGAGGAGCATTTTTTGATGAATTGCATAGCTTATAGGGATCCTAGGAGAGAGCTGTTCAATACTCTAAAAAAGGAAACTAATCTTTTTCTTGACTCTATGACTCCAAGCTCTGCTTTTCCAACATTGGTAAGTACGAAGCAAGGAAAGAAAACGCAAAAAATTGTGGCTAAATACGTATGTGATCGCTTCCGCGAAAGAGAAAGGCGCGTTAAATATAACCTTGTCTAGTTGTATAAATTCTACAAATGTACACCTCTGTAATTATTGCACTAAAATATATCTTTGTTATCGTTGTAAACACATGTGTCTGTAGGGGCTCTGTTGATAATAAAGCAGCTATCCTATCCTATCCTATCCTACGGGAAGGCTCCGCCAAAAAGGGATACCTTTTTTAGCGTTCAGGTATATGAAAGGGCAGGGATTTCACAAGTTGAAGCATATGAAAGGGTTTGGGAAATCTGTCATTGCGGATTGTGAAAGGACCTACAAGGGCTGACAGGCGCAGTTTATGGCTGCAAAAAGAGTAAACCGATGGTACTTTTACAAAATATGAAGGTTATGCAGCGTTACAAAGTAGTATGTGAAAGGGGTGCCATTTTTCAATGACAAGAATACGAAAGGGGTGTCTTTTACGCCAGAAATGGTATATAAAAAGGTATAAGGGGTTGGACTTTCGGTTAGAGCCTCCTGTATGAAATTGCGTTAAAATTAGCCTGTAGTGCAGGCGTATTTTGGGTGGGCGAAACCTTGTTCGTGTTTGTAATATTGTTGTAGCCGCCATCTTTGACTTNTAAGTTCCCCCCCCCCCCGCCCCACACACACACACACCCCTTCTGAGTTGTACAATCTTTTTAAAGCCATTAATTTTAAGATGTTTCATTGTTAACAGGTTGAATAAATAAAACAAGTGTAAGTTATATTGCTTTTTTTTTCAGATTTCTCGGCGAAAACAGAATCAAGGAAATCCCTGAAGGAGCCTTCGAGAATATGCCAGGACTTCAACTAATGTGCGTAACAACTGAATCATAAGCATTATTCATCTTGTTGATGCCTTTCTATCGTTAACATTTGTTCTTAATTTACTCATTACTTTACTTGTCATTCTTCACCTAAAATCCAGGTTTTTGTTCTCTTTTAGCTTGCTTCAAAAAAACAACCTAACGAGAATCCCTGATCAAGCATTCAAGAAGCAAAGCGGTCTTAAAGTAATGTACGTACGAATATGACTGCCTTGGGCAGTTGTCACTCTATTCGCTGTACCTTTTGTACAGTAACATGGGAGCACCATAGGTTTAGGGTTATTTTATTTTAATAGAAGGAACCTGTTTCAAAACTGCCCTAAAGTTTTTCAGAAACAAAATATTGCATATTCTTTCGTAATATGGAAGCAGCTTGTGGTACCCACATAAGCAAACGCTGATCAACTATATAGATTGAGTGCAATGATGAGCGCTCAAAATACGTACGCTGGACCAACATCGATTTTCACAGTGCGATAGAATCCCACCAATTTATTCAATTATAATCCTAATTAGCAAGCATTGGCTATACATATCTCTTTAAAGCACTATACTACTGTTTATTTATTTTAATCAATTTTTCAAGGCGCTGATATCAGTTAACATAAGAACTACTAATATTTAGTTCCAGCTAAAGTCCTAAAAGCGAATGTTCCATTCAGAAACTTATAATTAAAAACAGCTAATAAACTTTAAACCAAGAACTTTAAGCCATTACAAAGAAATCCACAAATTTATCTACCAAACATTGGGAGACCTCCACTTACCAATGGAAGGAGGGGGAGGGAGATTTAAGAAAAAGTAATCTCGCAAACAGGCCTAACAATCTCATTCATTGAGCTAGGTGAGAAGAGCAAGTGATGCAAGTAAATGCCAGGGATGTGTTGGTAATTTTTCCAACTAGGGATAGTCAATTGTTTTCCAGTTTGCACCATTCGTTGTCAAAATCCATCGTGAAAGAGATGCCTATAAAGTTCAACCCTTAGTTCGCTAATGTAAGATCGATGGAATACGGTATAACAGTAGGCGTTGCTGATGAGACCAAGGGAACGAAGAGGCGAAAACAACATGTGTTTGGTGTCTGATAACATTTTCCATTTTCGGCGTTTCCTTAAGAAGCATAAATTAAATTTGGAACTTACGTTAAAGAAATTAACAGCCACTCAAGCTTCGATTCAGTCTTTCCCCGGGGAGGAGGAAGATCGGACCGAGAATATAGCGGTGGAAATTCAGCCTATTCTCAGGCCCAATTAATTGCTTAACTAAGTTTGTAGATGCCGCGAATTCATTTTGCATAGCGATTTTTTATATAATG